GACGCAAACTCTGCACCCACAGCTTTTGCTGCGCCTGAACATCTGAATCAATTTAACGTCTCAGGTGTACCTCCTCATGAGCTCAAACTTAAGCCAAACGGCCTTGCCATGATTGTTCGAAACCTCAACTTTTCTGAGGGCTTGGTGAATGGACAAAAATGCATATTGTAGGCAGTGTCACCAAACAGTCGTGTCATTCAAGTCGAACTTCTTCCCGACGAGCTCCCTCGGCCCATAGTTTTGATCCCGAGAATAAATTTCCCTGCACAGGTTGAAAGAAATAGCATAAACTTCATGCGTGTGCAGTTTCCTCTCCGAACTGCTTACGCCATGACTATTAATAAGAGCCAAGGACAAACACTAACGAGAATTGGACTAGATCTGCGTTCTTCACCCTTTGCCCACGGTCAACTGTACGTTGCCTTAACTCGAGCTCAGAAACGATCCACGGTCGGCCATGGTGCTTCTGCCCCATCCTCAAGTCGTGAATGGAGTCCCTTACACTGAAAATGTTGTGTACCCTCCTTTCACGGAAGCCGCCACGGGCGACACCAACAGCATTCTTCCCAACTCCTCTTTACCTGCTGCTCCTCCCGCTACGCAACCTGCTCCGCCACCTCCACCTGCTCCTGCACCATACTGGGTAGTCCAACCTGAACTGGGAGGTGGTAACTGCGGCTTCAGGGCCATCGTCCGGCGTGTCTTAGGCGACCCTGACCTGCACCTTCATATTCGAGCTCAAACCGCTTACTGCTGTGGAGCCGGACATAGCTTTGTACCGGAGACACCCTTCTTTGCTCTGTTCNTACATATCGAACAACAGACATAACGTTAATCTACACATTTATGACGGCATTCAATCTGAACTGCTTTATGGTGCAGCAGGCGTTCACCCTTTTCAGTACTTTTCCTATGACGACTACGTCACGAAGATGTCAATGCCTAACACATACATGGGTCAGCCTGAAATAACAGCCGCAATTGAAATATACGGCATACCCATACATGTACAATTCAACGCTTCAACCTTACCTTTGCCTCAAAACGCGCTGCTAAACGAACTTCATCTGAGATTCACGGCCAACAGTCGTCACTACGACACCTTCTTACTGACGCCACCTGCGCCCTCCTTGCCCCAAATTTAACCAGGATGGACCCTACATCTGCANCAGGCGTTCACCCTTTTCAGTACTTTTCCTATGACGACTACGTCACGAAGATGTCAATGCCTAACACATACATGGGTCAGCCTGAAATAACAGCCGCAATTGAAATATACGGCATACCCATACATGTACAATTCAACGCTTCAACCTTACCTTTGCCTCAAAACGCGCTGCTAAACGAACTTCATCTGAGATTCACGGCCAACAGTCGTCACTACGACACCTTCTTACTAATGCCACCTGCGCCCTCCTTGCCCCAAATTTAACCAGGATGGACCCTACATCTGCACAAGGCTCGCCTTTGACCTACGAAGGAATGATCGTCGCGTCCGCGGACCACGACGACGAGCACTAATACAATGAACTTCTCCTCCTTCGCGACTACGAAGTAGAACTGGCTCAGTGTCAAATCTACTGCCAAGATCTGTGGAGNTCGGACCACGACGACGAGCACGAATACAATGAGCTTCTCCTCCTTCGCGACTACGAAAAAGAACTGGCTCAATTTCAAATATACTGCCAAGATCTGTGGAGTTGGTTTCAAAATATGTCATCATGGGCACCTTTTTGCTAGACCACCACCATTTTTGGTGCAATGCTGGAATAGTGGGCAGGGAGTCCTAATCTTTTGGCTGGCTCTCTGACTATCGCTATACATCGTGTCCAGCACCACGGTATATGTTGCGAGATTTGCAAGAGTCGGCAATATATGTTAAACAGTGCAAAGTAAACATTAGATGTAACAACAGTAACAGCTACAACTACATGTAGCCGTCGGTGATTGTGCGTTTTATAATTCATGACTGAAGACATTGCATCATAGTTTTGTCTTTACCTGTCGAATTGTGCGGGTGCACTATCGTCTGCTGCGCACATCGACTACATCAAAACTCCTTCCGGGACTGTCNACAGCTACAACTACATGTAGCCGTCGGTGATTGTGCGTTTTATAATTCATGACTGAAGACATTGCATCATAGTTTGGTCTTTACCTGTCGAATTGTACGGGTGCACTATCGTCTGCTGCGCACATCGACTACATCAAAACTCCTTCCGGGACTGTCCAGAACATGCCTTCAGAATACCTATCATCTGCTTTCTTTGCGGTATTCCTCCGGCGCCATCGCTGCAGCTTTCTTTGCACAAACTGTTGCTGCATGGTCGGCGCCTCACCTTCATGTGCAAGCTTTATGACAACATGCTACGCGACATTCATGTTCATCCACCACTTGGTATTACCGCATCCCCTTTAACAACTACACCTACCTCTATTTCTAGTCTCTACTGAGGACGGGGGGGGCGTTGGCCCCCGCGTCCGGGGCCCTTGTACATGATGATTTTTTTGACAAGCGCTGCTTGTGCGCTGCAAAATAGCACCGAGAGTGGACAAATGGGGACAGTCATTCACAGCGCAGACACATATAGGTCATTTCCTGCTCACTCTGCATCATGTGCAGCAACCCACTTGTGAATCGACGTTGTGATCGTCGAGATATACAGACAGACAGGTGTTTCGCGAGAGAAAGGCCCTTAGTCTGGATTTTCCATGCACCGCCAGTAAAAAATCGCCTTTCTTTGTAGGGCCGCCACCACGTGGATGCAAGTTTCGACCACGCGGATTTGCTTCGTTGTTTATTCTAGATATTGTGTTGTTGGAAGTTCTAGGGAATAATTTCGTTCTGTCGGTTTCGCAATAGACCACAGCAGCAGTGAGGGTGGGGGGGGGGGGGGGGGGGGGGNGGGGGGGGGGGGGGGGGGGGGGGGCGTCACCTGACTGATGCCATCATTGCATTGCGCCCGTGATGGCCGTCTACAGGGCCAGTGAAATTGCCGGGCACCCAGACAGACTGAACACCAACTCCTTCCGTCCATTGAATGTTGCAGCGCCGGTCCCTCTGGATATATATAGGTAGCGCCGGTGGATGCGGCTGCCATATACCGGCGTCATTGACCGCCCTCCACTCACTACTGCTGTATGTAGTCGAGACTAATGGTCTCTTCCACGGCGGTGACTTGCGCTGTTGTTGCTTGTCGTCTGTTGGAAGTTACGTCTGTTCCATGACGCACTCTGACGTGACTTGTCTGGAGTCACGTGGTTTTGGTCGCTCACGAGGCAACCCGCTCTATCTCATCTCGTGTCATCATCTCGATCATCTCTCTGCATCTAGAGTGGAGGGAGCGGGAGGGGG